CCTTGGACATTTCTATTTTTTTTACTTTCTATTAATATCAATGAATTTTCTAGTCTGAAATTGTCAAGGTGCAGGTAGTACTAATTTCTTAAGAATTGCGAAAGATTACATAAGGCAATATGAGATTTCCATTATGATTATTGTTAAACCAAGAGTTAATGGCATGTTAATGGATAGGATAATTCGTCTAACTAATTTTGATAGATCACACCGTATTAAGGCTACGAGTTTTTCTGGTGAAATATGGTTACTATGGAATAATATAGTTCAAATCTCTGTTCCAAGAAATCATAGTCAGTGTCTTCATTTGATTGTCGACTATCAATCTACAAATCCATGGTATGTTTTAGCAGTATATGGAAATCCTAATCCAACAATTCAAAAAGAATTATAGAAGGAACTGTATTATTCTGCATACATTATCAATGGACCTTGGATGATTATTAGTGATTTCAATGTTTTCCTATTTTTGCATGAGAAACTTGGAGATTCAACAAAGGGTAGTGGGCCATGTTCTTTGTTCTAGTCCTTTATGAATGACCTTAAACTACTTGATATGAGCTTCTAAGGATTGAGATATACATGGAAGAGAGGACTTGTGGCTGAAAGAATTGATAGGGCTATTTGTTCTTCTAACTGGAGGTTATGATTCCATGAAGTTCTTGTACAACATCTACTTCCTGTTGGTTCCGATCATTATCCTATTTTGATTAGAACAAGTGAAAGACATGTTGTTTCACATGGTGTGGGATTTCGATTTCAAGTTGCAGGGCTTTGTCATTTAGAATTTCCTAAATTTGTTCAGCAAACTTGGGAAAATAATCTACCTATCTATGATGCTTTACAGAACTTTACAACTAAAGTTAAATAGTGAAACAAAGCAGTGTTTGGTAACATTTTCTATTAAAGAAAAGACTCTTGGCTAGACTAGTTGGCATTGTGAAAGCCTTTGAAATTCATCCTTCTAAAGATCTTTAATTACTTGAATTTAACTTGAAATTAGAATATGAGATAGTGCTATTGCAGAAAAAGATCTTTTTGATGCAGAAATTGAGAATGGATTGGCTTCAATTAGGAGATAGAAATACTAGCTACTTTCATGTATGTGCGACATGTCAAAAGAGTAAAATGAAAATCCTACGATTCAAAATTGAGGACTATTCTTGGTATGACAATTAGGAGTTAATTTGGAATCATGTAATTGACTTCTTTGGCAAGTTATATGCAAAAGAATATGATGTTCTCCAACCTTTCCCAATTAAAGATATGTTCCTTGTTAGAGATCAATCAGAATATAGTAATATGCACAACCAGTGGAAAGTGAAAAGGTATGTAATGCTCTGTTTGAGATGAAGCCACTTAAAGGCCCTTGTGTAGATGGTTTTCGGGCATTGTTCTTTCAGTCTCATTAGAACAATGTTGGAGACAATATAATTAGTTATGTGAAGAATGTATTTAATGGTATGGTAGTGGTGAGGAACTTTGTAGATAAGTTATTACCTTAATTCTTAAGGTAAAGAACCTTGAAAATAATTACCTAATTTAGACTTGTTAACCTGCTATTGATTGTGTTTAAAGTTTTGATGAAGGTCATTATGAACAGATTGAAACCTATGATAGGTAGTTTGATAAAGGAGACACAATTTAGTTTTTTCCTTAGTAGACAAATTATAGACTATTGTGATTGCTTAGGAACTAGTCCACTTTTTCAATAAGAAACAGGGTAAAGTGGGGTGGATGATACTCAAGATTGACCTAGAAAAAGCTTATGATCGCTTACGATGGGAGTTTATTTATGATACATTGGTCGATGCTAACATTCCTAAACCTTTAATTGATATTTTGGTGGATAGCTGGCATCGTAGCAAGTCTTAAGTTTTATGGAATGGTGAATTATCTAATAGCTGTAGTCCTTCTCGTGGCATACAACAAGGAAATCTGCTTTTCTCGTATTTATTTGTTTTTTACATGGAAAGATTGGCCCATGGAATTATCATTGTTGTTTCCAATGGCTCTTGGAAATCTATCAGACTTAGTAGGAGATGCCCACCATTGTCACACCTTTTCTTTGCTAATGACCTTTTCTATTTTGCTTAGGCTTTTTTCACACAAATAGAGGTGATTATGGGAATGTTGGAAGATTTTTGTGTCTCCTTAGGTGAAAAAGTGAATGTGGCAAAATCGTCCGTTCATTGCTCTAGAAATGTTTCTAGAGATAACATAAATAATCTTAAAGCTTACTCAGGTTTTGCGTACTCAGAGGATTTTGGAACGTACCTGGGTGTGCCTTTATTTCATGGTAGAAGACGGTTTAATTATTTTCAGTTTTTGGAAAAAAAAGTTTATAACAAGTTATTTTCATGGAAGGCTTCTTCTCTTTCATTCACAAGTAGACTAACTCTAGTTAAGTTTGTTCTATCCACAATTCCGTATTATGTAATGTAAACTATATCTTTGCCCAGTAAGAGTTATAGAAAAATTAAGGCCTACTGTCTCAATTTTCTTTGGGGTGGTGGTTCGTATAATTCAAAAGTGCATCTTATAAAATGGAAGAAGGTTTGTCAATCAAAAACTGTAGGTGGTTTGAGAATTAAATCTCTCAAAAGAATGAATGACGCTTTCTTAATGAAGTTGTGCTAGAAACTAGTTATTAATCTTACTACTTTTTGTTTATAGGAGTGATGCCTCTTCTTTATGATATGCTTTGAGTAAACTTTGATAAACTTTCAAAAGACATATCAAATGGGCTATTGGTGACGGTCGAACAGCACATTTTTAGAGTGCCAATTGGTTAGGTGAAAGATCATTATTGAAGGCTGAACAATTGGTTGGTTGCTTTGTTGATGATAACAGTCATGTTCGAGATACGTTACTACTTGATGGCACTTAGGACTTGGAACATATAGCTAATGTCACTATAACAAATTTGACTTAAGACAACACATTTAAAATGTGTTGCTAAAAATATTTTTTATAACACTTTTTTAATGCTTTTTAAAACATTTTTGTATATATAACTTCACTATATAAATTTTTAAATGCATTATGAATAAAATGTAACCATAGACATTGCATACACTAGCAAAAGCTGCACTTTTTTTTATTGCTACTCAATGTGAAAAAAAGTAAAGTTAAAAGTTTAAATAGCTGCACTTTTTAAAATTTTACTATACAATTAAATATGTCACTTAAAAAAATGTGATTAAAACTTAGTTTTGTTATAATGTGTATAGATGGAAGTGGAGCGTAAAATGTTAGCTAATATGCTTCCTCCATTATATTTTGATTTTACAGACGAACCTTTTTGGGTTTTAACTTCGATAAGTGTATTTTCTATGTCCTCTGCTTGCAACATATTAACTGAAGCGACAATGCCCCCATCTGTAAATAAAGGTGAAATACGAAATATGGTGTGGCAATGGAAAGGGCCTAATCGAATTTGCACTTTCTTATTTCAATGTTTACATGAATGTATATTGACAAGCAAATAATGCACTAGGGGCCTTTTATCTAATGATTCAGCATCTTCTTTATGTAAACAGAAGAAGAATTAGTGCTTCACCTATTTCGTGATTGTCCATTTGTTGTTGTTCTTTGGCAACATATGCTACTGAGTGATTGGCATAGTTTCTTCAACGTCTTGACTATCACGGAATGGTTTGCTTTTAATTTTGCTTGTCGTAAATTAATGGTTAAAAACATTTCATGGTCAGTTTTTTTTTTTTACATTACTTGTTGGCTCATTTGGAAGTGGAGAAACACTTTCATTTTTGAAGGGAAATTGATTGCTTTGGAGGGGCGCCTTAATACTATATTAAGGCTTTTGGATATTTGTCAATGCTTCCTACTATGTTATTGATGAGTTTAGTGTTCTGCAAGTAAGAAGAAAGTGGTTTTAGTTGGGTGGACAACACCATCTAGTGGTTGGGTGACTTTGAATACCAATGGGGCCTTTCGAAAATCTTTTGGTGTCTTGGTTGCTAGGGGTGTTTTACAAGATTTGGAAAAAAAGTGGCTAGGTGTTTTCACTACAAGGCTTATTAGATGCTCGACATATAAAGCTGAGCTATAGGAGATTTACTGTGGACTCTGTTTAGTGTGGGACTTGGGCTTTTGCAAAATTGAGCTCTTGGTGGATAGTAAGCAAGCGGTGCAGGTTATTTCTTCAAATGGAAGCCATCTTTGTGCTAATTCAAACATTATTCAGGCAATTAAGCAGATGTTGGGATGACAATGGAATGTCACCACAAAACATATCTTCAGAAAAAGCAACATAGATACTGTTAATATGACTAACGTAGGTTTTGCCTTAGAAGATGAATTTGCCTTTTTTGTTATACCCATTTTAGCCATTGAAGGCAGTTGGTGAACAATAAACTAGGCATTTGTTTTCCCCGCATGATTAAAATTTAATGAATTTTTTCTTTCCTAAAAAAAAATATATCACATGAAATACTTAACGAAACAAGAAAATAGATTCAATTATTTTGATGGATGGAATTAGGTATGTAAAACTTTATAAACTCCTGTAAAAGTTATAGAATGTTTAAGATGGAATCACATGTTGTATTGCACTTTACAGATGCAGTGGTGAATAAGTGATGGTTACATCTATCCAAAGACATGATAGCATCGAAGGCAGTCGCTATATTTCTTTGAACTTGTAAACACAACAAAACGAATTGTAATGCTCAAAATAAATTTGGAAAATCAATAGAGACTAAAAGTAAAAAGTTAAGGTTCCAGGTTTTCAATTTGTAGAAGTTTCATCCAAAATTATAAGCGATCATAGACATTGACTTTATTTTCAAAGATACACTGATGCTATAAATGGATCACATATTCCTACTATTTTTCCTATAAATGATTAATTTCATTTTATCGATCCTAAAGGATATCCAACATACAAAGTCATGTTAAAAATAAAAAGGAAACCTTAACAAGCTCAGTGCTAAAACTCGGTCGTTTTGGGATGTCCTCTTCCTATACCATCTGTCTGGGCCAAAAGCGGGAAAACCAAAAAAATAAAAATAAACGCACCCATAAAGCCAAAAACAGTACAAATCTCTTGACTCAGGCAGGAGGAAAATGGCGCCAGTATTGCAGAGCTCCCAACCTTGGGTTGAAAAATAGTACAAATCTCTACTTGTTTCCACAATTTCTATATTTTTTTGTTTAATTCTATTTTGCTTGCCTTATTATTTTTTTTAAAGAAATTTAGATGTGGTAATATTTTTGTTTCCCAGTCGGCCCAAGCAAGTGAAAGATGTGGCTCACCAAGACGAGGTGGTTCGAGTTCTGACCAACACCCTCGAGACTGCTAATGTAATATGTCTTCTCTTTCAAATTCCTTTCATTCTGATAATCATTAGTATTTGTTTTTATTATCTTGAAAACCCTAATTCCCTATGGATTTATTGTTTAGTGCCCGCATATGCTCTTCTACGGCCCACCCGGCACCGGCAAAACCACTACGGCACTCGCCATCGCCCATCAACTCTTTGGGTAATTTTAGAATCAGTTTTTGTAGAAATTGAGAATTAAGCTTCCATCCTTATTCATTAAGTGAGATGCTTTGTGAAAACATGTCTTTGTTGTCTTAGTTCGCAAGAGTTCTGTTCTGTCCTTTTGACTATTTAATAATTTCATTTTACATTTTACTTGAGTTTGTTTGTGCTTCAACTGCAAATCAATTTCTGCAGACCTGAACTCTACAAGTCTAGGGTGTTGGAGCTAAATGCAAGTGATGAACGTGGAATCAATGTTGTTCGTACAAAGATCAAAGATTTTGCTGCTGTTGCTGTAGGATCTGGTCAGCCTCAGGGGTATGCTCTCATATTTTGTGTTAAATAAAATTTCCACTTCAGCTTACAGTTGTCCCTCTGCCTCTTTGAAGTGTGGCAGTAATCTTTTTATTCCTTTGTGTTTTTCTAGGGGTTATCCTTGTCCACCGTTCAAGATCATTATTCTGGATGAAGCAGATTCAATGACCGAAGATGCACAGGCATGCTTGGTTTTCTGTAGCCATCCTGGTATTATTGAGTCCGTATAGGCACTTGTTAATTTCGTTTCACTTAAACTTGACTCTGCAGAATGCCTTGAGACGTACCATGGAAACTTACTCAAAAGTTACAAGATTCTTTTTCATATGTAACTACATAAGCAGGTACATTTCCTTTTATTTTTCCTCAAGTTTCTTTTTTCTGTTTTTAACCATATGTTTAATTTGGTAACCTTTTAGCACTTTAATGCTACAATTACTTATATATCATAATAAATTTTAAATAATGAAGGGTAATTATAATCATTATGGTATTGAATTTTCATAGGATCATAGAGCCGCTTGCTTCAAGATGTGCAAAGTTCAGGTTCAAGCCACTTTCGGAAGAAATAATGAGCAGTCGTGTATTGCATATTTGTAATGAAGAAGGTCTTCATTTAGATTCAGAGGTTTGAACCTGGGATCTTAAAGCTTGTCTTATGAGTGATTGTATGTTAAATGGCTTCTTTACAAAACATTTGATGTTTCACTGTAGGCTCTTTCAACATTAAGTTTCATTTCACAAGGTGATCTTCGTCGGGCTATTACATACTTGCAGGTAAGCATTAGAATGCATTATATTCCCATTATTAAGAAAATTATGATGGTTCTAATTCTCTCTATGCTCTTCTAAAATTATTTTGCTTTTGAAAATTTGGTTGCATACTTGTGGAAACTGGACTCAATTTTCTCTTCTGCTCGCTGCAGTAGCCCGGTTTATTGGGCCTTAGTTTATTTTGCTGCTTCGTAAACGATATTTTCCCCAGAAGTGGGGTCACCTTCAATTCCTACTATGCAGCTGTAATCATTTGGGTCAAAATAATGATTTGTAACTGCATTTCAGGTTACCATTAGAAATCTAACAGGTTTACTGTGCTCAATATTACTTGGTATTGCGGTTGTTGTTTTGTACAACACTTTCTCCTAGGTCTGAGGGAATTTGTCTTCTATATGTTTTCCCATGCAATTTGAATTTTACATCTATCGTTACTAAATTTCTAGCATATAGAATTGACAATAGTAAGCTTCTAAGGTCAAAATGAATATGATGAGGCTGAAGTTGGTATCTTCCATTACTTCAGTTATTTGTTTCTTCAGTACCTACAAAAGAATTGTCTCTGAATTGGTCATATAGGATCAGCAACTTTACTTAGGGCGATCCAATGCTTAAAGTACTTGTGCGTTGTTAGGTCTAAGAGAATTTTTTGAGTATTACTCTTTGGTCATGGTCCAAAGCATAAGGCAACCTTGAATACTTATTTTTTTTGGTTGGAAAATGATAGAATGAATAACTTTGTCTGGGAACTCTAGATTCTCCATTGTTTATGGGCAAAAATGCAGTTTGCATTATCTATGCTGCGCTGTTTATATTCGTGACTAATATTCTGTAGTCCTTTAGTGTGTGTGAGGTTAATAAGTCACCCTTGTTAACATTGGTTCATAAAGAGGTTCTGTGAAGTTCAAGTGTCTGCATGAGAAATGATGATAAAATTTGCTTTTCGTTAGGGCTTCAAGTTGACAAATTTTGCTGTTTTATTGAAGGCTGTTTCACTGCTAAATGCTTTAGTATTCGACAAATAATGTGGTTGTGGGTCTTTATATTTAGGAAGATAGAATTGGTAAAGCTATCTTCATCATTTTCACTATAAACTCTGCTTTTTGACTTATAAGTTGTTTTTGATGACATGCACGTATATGTTTATTGGTCATGCTGGTCAATTGGGCAGATCTCTCATCCTTTTGCAAATGCTGAATATTGTATTATGGAATATTGCAGGGAGCTGCTCGCTTATTTGGATCAACAATTTCATCGGAGGACCTACTTAGTGTATCTGGGGTAAGTTATATGATACATTATGCTTAAAGTTCCTAGTTTAGTAACTCTACTATACAAATTTGCATTGGTTAATATTAGATTTCTCTAGATTTATTTTTGGACCGATCATCTTTTACCCTAGATAGCTAGTTTATGAAAAACTGCTCTGTAGAACAAAGGAGTCTTGATGGTTGACATGGATGCATAAGCTGCTGCAAAAATAAGCAAAGGGAAATTTGCTCTCAAATAGGGCCTTTTTATAATTTATTTAGACTGACCAGAAGATGTTCAGATTGAATTAAAATTGAACTTCTGTACATTGTGTTTCTCTGTGTTGGCTACCTATATAGTGAAACACCTAAGCAAATTGTCATTTAATGTGGCTTTTTCTTTCATGAATCTTTTTACGAGTGAAGAGCAAACTGCATAAAAGTATAACAATTAGGTGCTTTTTTCTTCTTTCTGTTTTTGCTCTATTTAACTGACCTTGGCATGCCTTGACTTTTAAATTTCAATGTATCAGGTTATCCCTCAAGAAGTTGTTGAGGCACTTTATGCTGCATGCAAAAGCGGCAACTTCGATTTGGCAAATAAGGAAGTCAATAATGTTATTGCAGAAGGGTTTCCGGTTTCTCAGATGCTTTCTCAGGTCCAATTTCTTTATTTTCATCCATGATCGGTCATCATTGTCTAGTATCTGACACTAATATAATGCTTCTGCCAGTTATTTGATGTGGTTGTTGAGGTAGATGATATACCAGATGAACAAAAAGCTAGAATTTGCAAGGGTTTGGCTGAGGCAGATAAGGTGACTTTCACCATATAAACTTAGCTTCTTTTTTCTTTTAACTTTTTGCGCACACGGGGGTGGTGTTGGTTAACATAGCCCGGCAACTGAAGCAGAGAAATAGTAGGGCATGACTGAAATCTTTTTAAAATTTGTCTTGGACCTACTTTGCTCTCTTTGTTCAACTCATGTGCTCTACCTTTCGTTTATTAAACTGATTGAAATTGACAAACAATTAATTGATTGAGGGTATTAAAGTTGGGCAATCAATTTATTTTCTTTGTTTCCCCATTTTTATCCCCTGGGAACTTCCATACTCCACGATTTCTTTACATAGTCCAAGTATCTGTCACCTTTTTTTTTTTGTTCCACTTATATGGAACTGTTTACTGGTGTGATTTTTATGTTTTCTCATTGGCTCTGCAGCGTCTAGTGGATGGTGCAGATGAGTACTTGCAGCTGCTGGATGTGGCCAGCAACAC